ATATATATATATATATATATATATATATATATATATATACTATTAAACAGCAATTTTGGCTAAATCTGAACTAGTTATGGAGGTATAGAGACAATTTCCATCAAATAGGATATTTTAATATTAGTGAACAAACTAAAACAAGAGAAAGCGAAATTATAAAGACCAAGATGGTGTGGCCCCCGGTATGGTCTCATTATCCTTTCGATTTATAGGAGTGGGTTGACCTCGTTGTCGCAACTTGGTCTTGTTGTCAGGGCAACTTAGTAGTACCAAGTCCACTGTCTGATGTTGGGAATTATGATAACTACTACGGCAGATTACTTTGGACCAGGTGCGGTCTACTTAGTCGCCCTGACAACAAGGCCAAGTTGCGAAAACGAAGTCAACCCACTACATCACATGGGTGATAAGGTGATATCGTTTTTAACAGATTATAGGCGTGGCTAGCAAGTCATGGAATAAAAAATACAAGATATGTTTATATGAAAAGAAAGCTGGTTGTTTTGGTCAAATTCAACAAATGTCACTCCACAAGTTGGTGAAGAAGATTTGAGAAGGTATGCATTTTAATGCCAAAGCGAATTTGCTGATCCCCCTTAAGGTCAGTGATGAAGGAGAACAATTTATTAAATTTTACATTTCGTTAATTTCACCGTCTCAGCAAACAACATGTGCGCCGAGAAGTAAGCCGGAGGCATTGACTTCGCGATAACGTGTATTCACCCTATTTTGTCTCAGTTGATGAAGGACTAGTAGTAGAATTTTCCCACAATGATATGAGTTGAGCTGACGTTTCCATTGCATTTCACATAGCCTTGCTTTCCCAAAAGTTGTTGTCATCACGGCTGGAGTGGACAGCAGTTTCGACCTCGCATCAACGGGTCTTATCAACACCCTCAGCGGGAGTCATTGTGGAAAATTCTACTACAAGTCCTTCATCACCTTAGACGAAATAGGGTGAATACATCTCATTGCACTGATTTACTGGTAGTCTCGAAACCCTAGCCTCACATGAATATAAGTAACGTAGTCGATTGCTATAGCAAATATATGTTTGCTTCATCGACACTCCC